CTGGAAGTTCAGCGCTTCTGAATGGAGCGCTGAATGGAGTGCTTCTCTGGCCACCGTACTTTGGTGACAGGTGCAAACTTGGCATCCTTGGGGCTGCACCGCTAGAGCAATGCTGGTGCTTCAGGGACAAGCCCCTTTCCCCACCCCCCAAGTTAGTGAAGTGCAACAATGTTGTGCTCCCCTTTGCACAGGAGTTCGGCCAAGCTATCTGCAAAAATTGTCTTTCTTGAGGAGTGCTTGATAGTTTGCAGATATCTTGGCCACCTGTTAGTGGAGAGAAGCAGACATAGTCACTCTCATCTTGAGAGCCCGGCCAAAGTTTTCCGTGCCACTTGTGCTTCAGTGTTTTGACTCCCAGGGGCAGGAGTTCAACCAAGTTACCTGCAAAATCGTCTCTCTTTCTCTCTTGAGGAGCGCTTGTGGAGAGAAGCAGCCAGAGTCACTCTCATCTCTCAAGAGCCCAGCCGAAGTTTCCCGTGCTGCTTCTGCGAGTGCTCCATGAGAGAGAGAGACAATTTTGCAGATAGCTTGGCTGAACTCCTGTCCCTGGGAGTCAAAGTGCTGAAGCAGAGATTTCCAACCCCACCACAGGCCGGTCCCATATTCCAGAGCTGCAGTAGTCACAAAACTCTCCCTTTGGTCATCCCGGAGCAGCTCATCCATGGCAGGCTGGTGCACAGGCCAGTCCTGTGACTGCTGCAGCTCTAGAATATGGGACCGACTTTTCCACCAACAACAGCAAGCCACCCCAGGCGGATTTCCTTCCCCCACCATTGGTCTTACCTTACCTTCCAGTTCCAGCTCGCAGTACTCATGGTAAGGTTTGCACTTGGCTGAAGGGTAGGGGCAGCGGGTGGGCAGGCCACGTAGGCTGTGCAGACTTATGTTCCGACACAGTCAGGATTAATTGTTTTGGGGGGTGCTTTGGGGGAGACATTCCTCTCCACCCCCCCAAAATTTTCTCACGGCCCACCAGTGGGCTGTGGCCCACCAGTTGGCAACCGCTGCTCTTTTAGTTTTTGTCTTGCTTCATTTTGTACTCTGAGACCACACTTGACTGTTATTCTGGTTACTTTAGACTTCCTGCTTTAGCACTATAATTTCCTATGATGAAAGAACATCTTCTTTTGATGTTAATTCTAGAAAGTGTTATAGTTCTTCATAGCACTGGTTGACCTCAGTCTCTTCAGATCAGTGATTGGGACACAGATTTTGATTATTGAGATGTTGAATGGTTTGCCTTGGGATCATTCTGCTGTTTTTGAGATTGTATCGCAATACTGCTTTTCCTACTCTTATATTGACTATGAAGGCTAGTTAGTTCTTCTAAGGGATTCTTGCCCACAGTAATAGATATAATGGTCACCTGAATTAAACTTTCCGATTCCTGTCCACTTCAATTCACTGATTCTCAAGGTGTCAGTATTGAATCTTGTCATTTCATGTTTGACCACATTTAGCTTACCTTGATTCATATTTAGGTTCCTATGCATTAACTTGAGAGCAGGTGTGGCTACAGTTGTGGCTAAGAGTCTCTTTGCATAGGTATGTCTGGTACACAATTTGTACCCTCCCCTGGACTAGAAGGCTCTTCAGTCAGTAAATCATGTTATGATTACCTGTTCCCTGGATGAATGTAATGAGGACTAGTAGAGCTGCCTTTGAAGATGATATAAAACCTAAAGCTAGTCCAGAATGCAACAATGAAGGCAGTGATAGGAGCAGCATGTTATGCCAACATAACCTCCCTGCTTCACTGTTTACCAGCTGGCTTTCAGGTTAAATTCAAAGTGCAGGTTATTCTCTTTTACCCACATGACACAGTCAGTCAGATAGCCAGGCCCAATCTCCAATTGTTTCTGCCCATCTGGTGCAATCAAGAAGTTTGAGTACACTCTGGATCCTGTTCATCAAAGACTATCATCATGAGACATAGCTATTAAATTATAACACCTGTCCTCTTAAATGATATATGAATTTGTCGCAATTTCCATTCTTATGATATTTTGGTAATTACTAAAAACTGATCTCCGGAGCCTTGGGATAAGATGGTTAAGGAGCTCCACTTAGCTTAGCTCTTCTGGTCAGCTATGTTCTCTTTTATATGTATTGCTTCTTTTATTTGTAAGCCACCTTCAGTAGCCAGGTAGCCTCAAGATGGGATTAAATAAACAAATAACTAAAGTTTACCTAAACAATTCAAATAGCAATATTAATACCTTCAAGGAAATAATCAAATACCTTACTTTTGTGCAATCTGCCTTTTGCCAATATTCAGGTTGATTTTCTTTATTAACATTTTCACCAGCAAGTTGCAATATTTGTATTCTTTGATTGAAAATTGGGATTCTTCAAGAAAGTGGCAGGACTGTTCACATTTCAGTCAATATCAACTCCCAAAATATTATTTAGGGCTTGTAGCCCAATAAATAAACCAATAGTAATCACCAGCAGATTATTAAACCTAAATTGTGGAAGTTGACTAATACCAAGTTCTGCATGTCCACTTATGTAGACTTATTCCTCATAATGTGAGGGGTGCATGTTAAACCTTGACTACAGTTTGCTAAATCTATGGGACTTGAAAGTATATATGCAGAAATAAAAAAGGATTTGTAATCCAAAGATTTATTAGCAATTAAACAATGATGTTTCATTTCAAAGATATTTCCTTACCAGATTCCTCAATGGCAGAGCTTGAAATGTACTGGAAAAATTCTTAAAAATTCAGGGAAATATTTAGAGATGGATTTGCCTTCAGAGTAACTGACTGCATAGCACAGTTAAACATCAGGAGCTGACCACACGAAATATTTTATGACATTTTGTTATGTCATAGAATATTTTATGATAATTTTTATGTCATAAATTGTTTATAAAATTTGCCAAATTTTAATTCACTAGAATTAAAGATTTTGGATGCATTCTGTAAGCTACCCATGTGAGGTAGCTGGGTTTAAAAGGTTGTGCCCTATAATGCACAATTTCACCCAGTTACAGACCTGAGAGTTTTCATAGAACAGTATATAGATTGGGCTGACTTAGCTAGAGAAAACCAAATTGAAATTTAAGTGTCTCGGGAACAAGTGAGGGTGCAAAGGAACAATTTTCTTAGCATGCCTTCTGATAAATGATTTTCAGCAACCGCTCCCCTGATAAACACTTTGTAACAATGTCCTAACATCTTTTCAAAATTTCAAATATGTTCATGGTTCACGTTTGAGCCTCATTTACCTCTGTAATCCCTATCACACTCACACTTGGAAAAAAGCTACTTACCATCTACACTGTATCTTAGTCATATTGTATTGTATTATACAGTATGTCTTTATATTATAAAGATGAAGTGTGCAGTAGCTAATGAAAACAACTCTATGCAACCGTAGTTGTGTAATAGCAAACAACATTCTTAAAGACATAAAATGACTAGCAGCAACATAAGGTCAACTAAAAATATGATATGGTCCACTAGGGGCCCTTATGGTCCACATCTATTCTAGTCCCCAACCCCTGGTCTGTGGACCGGCACCAGTCCGTGACATGCCCAAAACTGAATTGTGCAAACAAGTGAAGCCCCATCTGCAGAACGCAGGCAGTACACAAAACTACACCCTGCTTGATCTACAGAAAAACCTCTCTCTACAGAACTGGTCCCTGGTACCCAAAAGGTGGGAACCACAGCTCTGGAACACTGAAAACATACATTGCTAAAATTAAAGTTTCTCTCTAGAATCTATGAATGCGTAAATAAATCTATGAATGTATAAGACAGCATAAACTCACGATATTTTGGTGTTATTTTGTAAAAGAGACCCCCCCCTCCCAAAAATCCCTCCATGTTTAGTATACCACAAAATTTAGCTATGGAATCAACAGGATTCAATGCTTCACCTGTTTAGCTAAATTTAATATAATATCTTCCACTGAACTAACATAAGGAGCCTTGGTGGCGCAGTAGTTAGAGTGCAGTACTGCAAGCTACTCCTGCTGCAATTTGGCAGATCGAATCCCACCAGGCTCAAGGTTGACTCAGTCTTCCATCCTTCCGAGGTGGGTAAAATGAGGACCCAGATTGTTGGGGGCAATATGAGACTCTGTAAACCACTTTGAGAGGGCTGTAAAGCACTATAAAGCTGTATATAAGTCTAAGTGCTATTGCTATTATACAAATCGACTTACACAATTTGTTACTAAATGTTGTACTTTATTTACCTACTTAGATGGCTTTAAAAGAGAACAATCTCATATGGACTTGTCCCATTAGTACAATGATCATGAAACTCCTGTGTTAAAAAATAATGTGTTTTTGAATATAGCTTTCTAGGAGGCAAACATGGCAGTGCTACTGGCTTTATCTCTTATAATTTTCTACAAACTATAACCAGAAAAAGAAAGCTGAAGGTAATCAAATCTTGGTCAGATCCTAGCCTCTTATGCTCCTAATTTAAAAGTGCTTGATTCAGTTCTTTTGTTAACTGGAGGTTTAGAACTGTAACTGGTAATGATGAATCTAGTAATAGTACAATTTAATTATAAACTTTTGAGATACACTGTCACAATTATTTAAAATAACTGAGAGCTAAAATTAAAATAATACAATCTTTTGCTTTTTTAAACATTACTAGTTGTAGTTTCTTTTCTCAACATGTATTAACCTTCTTAAAAAGAATACTATATTGAATATGGGTAGTCCTCATTTAGTGACTGTTCAGTGATGAAAAAGTAACTTTGCAACCAATTGTCATAGTTACTATCTTTGCAGGTCTGTAAAGTAAAGTAAAGCTGATGTAGGATCAGTAGCATAGCTGCTATTTAACTTAGTGACAGCTTCATTTAATGATTGAGTTATTGGTCCCAACTGTGGTCTCTAAACAGACTACCTAACTTTTTTCCGACAGATTTTCTTAATCTTAATCAAAACTGCTTATAGTGCTAGCTATCAGACAAGTGTTAATTAGTATTCATTCTTCTTAGCACAAAATTAAAGTAAGACAACATACCTGGCTACAGCTTCACTGTACACAAAACCAGCATCTGCTCTCTTTACAATTTCAAAGCAGAGGTCTGCACCATCCATACTGCATAAAGAAAGTATTGAAACAGTATTTATGAAATGTGAAACTGACTTTCAAAGTAACGTTAATATTCAGAAATGCACTTTTCAATTATTTTCTAAATAACTCATAATTTAAACTATTGAAATTTAGTTTGGTAGCAGCTCTTGTCATCTATCTATTAGAAGACAAGAAACTTTACAGACTTTACAGTGAAATCACTAACCAATGATTTCATCTCAAAACACAATACAATTTTCGATAAAAACTCTCAAATAGGAAGAGTTATTGGCATTTTTAAATTCTTAAATGCAAAATTTCTGAAACATTTGGCCACAGGCTTTTCTCTTCTCAAATCCCAAAACAAATGAATGGATACTGGAAATCCACAAGTAATTTCTATATGTATTCTCCTATGTTAAAGGTGAGCCAAGTGTAATGTTTGGACTAGGAAGATATAGGTTCAAATTCCAAATGAGCCACAAAGTTCACTGCATGATTTTGCACTATTTTGGAACTACTTCACATGATTGTAGTGTGATCAAAAAGCCTTGAGGAGTTCTTGGAATAATGATGGTTTATTTGTTGAGAAGAAAGATAAACAGAGACAACCTAACATTATGGAACTCTTTACAGAAACAGAATGAATTTGTAATTGAACACCATCAAGATAGAGTACGTTAGAGTTCTGCCATTTACTGTTTCCAAAATCATCTGGAAGGCTGCTATCACAGGGGTGGGATTCTACTAGTTCGCACCTGTTCACTAGAACCGGTTGTTAACATTCTAAGCAGTTTGGAGAACCGGTTGTTAGAAGAAATTACTGGCCTAATCCTGTAAGGAAGGCAGGAAGGAAACATTCTGGTGTTGCTTACAGAAACTGCCTCTCCGTTAACCCTTATTACATTCTTGGCAGGACTAGACTTCCTGTCTCAGGAACTTCTCAATTTTTTTCCCCCTCCTTTGCTGGTACTTTGCTTGTGTGGAGTGACCATTCAAAGTTACAATGGCACTGAATAAAGTGACTTGTGACCATTTTTCACACTTACGACTGTTGCAGCATCCCCAGTCTTGAGATGCCAGGCAAGGAGATGTGTGCCTCAATGTGAGTGATATTGAGTTGGCCACATCCAGCCAATAACATGACCACCAAGCCAGGCCCACCACCTAAGCCACGCCCACAGAACCAGTTGTAAAAAATTTGAATCCCACCCCTGTGCTATCATTGTTCTCAGTATCTGCCATCTGAGATAATTGCTTCACTTAGTCAATGACAAAGCTGTTTGGACTTAATAAATTGCACCATTGGTAAAAATATGATGCAAAATAAAAGATCCACAGTAATAAGTAATATTGCCTACAAGATTATCTTGGTAATTACAGAGACATATTATTAGTCCTTGACTGACAACTATTTGTTTAGTGACCAAAGTTACAATGACACTAAAGAAGTGACTTATGAGCATTAACAGCACTTATGACTGTTGCAGCATCCCCATGGTCACATGATCAAAATGTGGACTGTCGTGTATTTGAATGGGTTGCAGTGTCCCGAGGTCATGTAATCATCTTTTGTGACCTTCTGACAAGCAATGTAATGGAGAAATCAGGTTTACTTAACAGCTGTGTTATTAACTTAACATCTGCCAAATGTGGCAAGAAAGGTCATAAAATGGGGCAAAAGTCACTTAACTGTCTTGCTTAGCAAAAGAAATGTTGGTCTTAATTATGGTCATAAGCCAAGGACTATCTGTATTACAACAGTTGAAGTATATCTTTAATGTTCTTTATAATGCAGTTGAATTTTTTTTGGAACATAGCAGTCTCAATTTAAATTGAAACCACAGCAGTTTCTCTCGTGTGCCAAGCAATGTCAATCAGAGACAATTAACACCAAAACCACAATATATAAGAGCACCCACTCATCACCAACTTTCCACCTGTTATTTCAGTGGTATGTCTAGGGAAGGAAAAAAGAAACTATATGCTGCATCCAAAAAATCCATACTCTATTTGCTCAGACAATGTATGGATTAATGCTTTTTTTGGGTAAGACAATGGCAGCTCAATTTCTGAATTTATGTAAAAACAAAACAAAACAATCCAACTATGATCCCAATAATTTTTATAGACAGAAAATTTTTTATTGATAGAAAATATCTGTTGGTTTTCTTGTTTCTGAAAGTTGAAAGTTTCTGAAAGTTTCCAAAGATGCCATTTAGAACAAAGCTTTCCTTCTTCCTTCAGTAATACTTTTATATACAATAAATAATTTTGAAAGTGGAATTGTGAAATATCCTGTGGCAAGTTATTGGCCAATTTCTTTGTTATATGTAGGTGCTAACATTTTGACAACTTAGTTTCAAATATTATCAAATGCTTGAATTCATTAAAATGCAGTATTCTAATCCATAATTTCTGTGTTAAAAAGAGTCAGAACCTAGGAAAAGTATGAGACAGTATTAATAAAGGAAGGAGGGCTTGAATCTGGAGAAGAAATTACAGTCCTGAAGTGGAAGAAAGCACAAAAAAGTCTCAAAATAATCATGCATTGATTTTAAGATGGATCAGACAGAAATTTAGACAAGATTCCAAAATTCCATTTTTCTATCAAAGTACAACAAGGCAATAAGATATTCTTGTGTATGTTTCTTATATTAGAATCTCAAAAGGCTAGTACTGGTTTATCAAAGATTTATTTCTTCATCCATCAAAGATGTGGACTTTCTCTTCCAGTACTTATTCTGACTTTGGAACCACATTATCAAAATACGAGGGCTAGCCACAAAATAGATTACGTTTTCGTCTGTAGCAAGAAGGGGCGGAGCTAGCGCAGCCATCTTTGGTCTGTGCGTCCGCCGCTCAGTCTACATCTAGTCGTGCTAGTGGGAGGTTCGTATCGTTGCCTGTTGTTTCACAGCAAACGTTTGAAATGTGTGCTGCAATTGAAAATCCCGCAAGTTGTGAGGTGCGATCAGTGATAAGGTTTTTGTTGGCAAAAAACCATAAACCGTTTGAAATTTTTCGGCAACTGTGTGAAGTGTACGGGGACAACATCATCACTGAAGGTGGAGTGCGGCAATGGTGCATTAAGTTTAAAAATGGATGAACTAACGTTCATGATGAACAGCGGAGTGGACGTCCGAGCATTGTGACTGATGAACTGGTCCGCCCTACAGCCCCGATCTTGCACCAAGCGACTACCACTTGTTTCCGAGGATGAAGACCTGGCTTGGAACACAGTGCTTTGACAAATGACATGGAACTGCGGGCGGGTATGACTGACTGGCTCAAATCTCAGGCTGCTGAATTTTATGACAATGGACTTACAAAGCTTGTTCACCGCTATGATAAGTACCTCAATTTGTTCGGTGAATATGTTGAAAAGTAGTATTTAAGTATCACTTTCAAGTGTATATAATTTTTTTTTTCCTATACTTTGTTTTTTTTTCTATTGCAAAACATAATCTATTTTGTGGATAGCCCTCGTATATATTTGAAGTATCAAGGTGGTATTGCTAGTGTTCTCTATTCCATAGTACATTAGTGTTTTAAATGGAGTAAGTCTAATATAGATGTACTAGTTCTCCTTCGAGCTGCTCGGATCATCCAGAGAGTGGGAGGTGCTTCAGTCTGTGTTGATTGTAGGCTGAGTTTAACTATTGAGGAACGCCCCTCCCTCCATCACATGGCTCCATCCGGGCGTTCCCCCAGTTTCTGCTCAGCCCTGTGAAAGCTAGGCTGCGTTGTTTATCCCTCCTTGGCCGTTTCAGGACTTCGCATTTTTGCTTAAGGTTTGCCTTAAATTGTTTTTTCCTTAGCCTCTGGGCATCTGTGTCTCTAGAGAAGGGGAGAGCGTTCCTTGCCCCCTCAGGGGGGAGTAAAACGGGCGGTATTGAGCGCTTTCGCACTACACCCCCCACCCCACCCCGCCTCGATCTCAACTCCTGCCGCTTCCAGCCGCTCTTTGTTAGTGGCTCTAACTGCTTGCGTTTTAAAGCGCTGCTGGTTCTTCCCCCCACACGAACGCCGCGCCGCCCCTATCGGCCTCCTAGCCTTGCCGGAGGGGTGTAATTCCGCCCTGAGCAGCCCCGACGTTTGACTGATAGGCAGCCGCCTTTTTGAGCGCTGCCTCGTGGTCGGGAGCTAATCAGTTCTCCGATCTCCATTACAATGACCGCTGTGAATGTTTCTAGCTCGCCTTACAGGCTTCCCCAGCTTGTTCAGAGCCTCTATTTCTCTTGATATCGTTGGCTATTCCGCAGCAGCGCTCAGGGCGAAGTAGAGCAGCACCCTTGGTACTCCTGGTTGTGTCCTGGGAGCAAAGCTGCTGGAGGCCTCACCTCTCCAACCCAGTGCCTAAAGAGGCCTCAGGCGTTCATTTGACTAATTGGATAAGTTTGCCTGGGTTGCACAGATTGAGATCGGATTTCATGTGACAAAAACAAGAAATAAAAAATAAGAAATAAAATAAAAAATGAAACTAAGAATAAAAAATAAAAAGCAAAACAAAAATAAACAATAATATGTGAATATATACCTTGTTTATACATATTTATGTATATTTTCATACTGATAAACAATGCTCAGAGCATTGTTAATAGTACAATGGCAAATGACTCTGTACTTCTATCATGCTAAGCATATGCAATGAAACAGAATGGAATCTAATACATGGGAAAGCCCTGTCATAATCATAATAACAATATCATATATATATATATATTTTACATCAAATTCCAAAAGGGGGATGCGGACCAGCCAAAAGGATACCCAGCCTTCTGTTATAGGCTGAATCCTAGGCGAGCCAACCGCCTCTATTATTCTTCTGTATGATCTTTACCTTTTAAAATGGCAGATGACAACTAAGGCCCCCCTTGAGGGCCAAGTAAGTCTCACCTTTTGCGCAGCCAGGCTAAGGAAACTTCAAAGGCCTCTGAGGAGCCCCAGTGACACAGTGATGTCAGGGCAACACTCCAAAGCTACTCTACAGCCAGCTGCCTTCAGCTTGGCAGCTCGGGGTC